CCTGGGCTTCTTCAGTGCACCCAATCCGTTCCAGCCTCGGAGGTTTTCTCGATCCTTCTTTCGCGCAAACTCCTTCTCCTGCACGCCCCAGGGTGACACCTCATCCCCGGTCTTCGGAGACCTTTCCTGGCTGCGTCTAGTAGTTCTAGTCCATCCCTGCCGGTCGGCACATTAGTACCAACACCATCTAAGGTTATTTCCTTATCATTTGTCCTACTGGGAAAAACAAACGAACAAAAACCCAGGACTTGGGGCAGAGATCTTGTGATGTCCTTGGCTCACAAAAAAATTCACAGGAATGCAGGAGCGGCATGAACACTAGCGGACCATCATCTCGCGTGACCACAGGAATCAGTTTTCCGGTGATATAGTAAGCTAACAGCTTTCACCAGCCCACAATTCTGGGTTCCCTACGAATCCGCGCAGGGACGACCCACACCCCATCTGAGTCGCGGCTAGAAGCACGCGGGCTCCCGAGCCCCGGGCGCGGCTCACCGATCGCAACTGCGGCTGCGCAGAGCGTGGGAAGGGGCGGGGCATAGGAAGGGGCGGGGCGGACTAACTTCCGGCGCGCGCGCGCGGAGCAGGCGAGGCCGCGTCTGTCCCTGGTGGGCTGGAGCAGCGCGCGGGGGTGCGAGCCGGGCGGCCATGGAGGACGAGAGGGTCTTCTCGGACATCTGCGGCGGCCGCCTGGCCCTGCAGTGCCGCTCCTACTCGCCCTACTGCCGGGAGTTCTGCGTGAGCTGCCCCCGGCTCTCGCTGCGCTCGCTCACCGCTGTCACCTGCTCCGTGTGGCTGGCGGCCTACGGACTCTTCGCTCTGTGCGAGGTAGCGCCCGGGGAGGGGACTCCGCGTCCCGGGGCCCGAGGGCGGGACGGGGGTGTCTCGGCTGGCACGGCCTTCTGCGTAGACCTGCGCGGGTTCGGCGTCCTACACAGGCAGGGTGTGTGCACGGTCGTCCTGCTGCGTTCTGCCTAGCTGTCCAGGACAGTTTGATTGTCCCTTCTCCCGATCCCTTCCTCAGTTTCAAGGGTGCTTTCTGAAGAATTAGGACGTTGCAGGCAGGAGCACCGTCTGTGCTCGGTTTCCTGTTTTCTCTGAGGCTCAGATTTCTCGTCTCTAAAAGAGAACTGATACCTGCTTCAGATAGGGCTGGTGTGGTGGCTCACGCCTGCAATCCCAGCACCCGGGAGGCTAAGGCAGGAGGATCGCTGCCAGTTCAAGGCCAGCCTGCGCTGCATGGTGAGACCCTAACTCAAAATGAAAAAGAAAATAAAGGGAGAAATTACTGCAGGAGTATTATGAGGACCAAGTGCAGTAACTTTGTGGTAGGAC